GGGGGGCTTTGTGCAGGGGTTTTGAAAGGGGTAGCCAAGCATATTGCCCCAAAAAGGATATTTCTTTCAGTAACACGATTTAAGCTTGGAATAAATTTTTTTCCCCATATTAAAATTTTGGCAGTCGAGGGCATCCCAGGTGTCCCCATTGCTTCGTTTTGCAGTTTTTTTTTCCGCCCTCCAACTTCCAGTCGACCCCGATGCAAGTAGTGGGCCCATAATCAACCAATGATCTGCTGTATAGCCCTTGTGGCTTAGCGTTCTTTTTTTTAAAATAATAAAACCAATGTCAAAAAAAAAAAAGCAAGAACATCATTTTCACTTTTTAAAATTAGCTCCATACCTGGGTGAAACCCGCCCCACAACTCTAAGTGTTTAGCCTTTCTTTGTATTGGCGACAAAATTTGTTACAATAGGGCCAAGTAGTGGAACCTCAAAGCCTAATACCTGTATCTGTTTATTCAAAGAGACCATCATGCAACTGGTCTGCGAAAATGTGCCCCTGCGAGGAGGACGCCTGTTGAGTATCTTTGTTTTATCCCCTGAGATTATTAACCCAGGTCCTGACACGAGGCTGTACATGATTAAGAATGTTTTTGGATGTTGGAGAATCCGGGGGTGTGAATCATTATGTCATCAGCAAAACTAACCATATAATGATGGGGCTGGCTAGGCATGGCATTAAGTAAGGCATTAATCAAAATGTTGAAAAGGGTGGGACTAAGCACACCTCCCTGTGGGGTTCCTAATTCAAAATCTTTAGTTACACTTCTATGTCCCTGGAACAACACAGACGACTTTGTTGGACAGGTAACCTTTAATCCAGCGGAGAAGCCATCCTCCAACATCCATTCTGGCAAGTTCACTAATGATTACATGTCGGTTGGCTACATCAAAAGCAGATTTAAGGTCAAGGAAGGTAGTGTATGAGCTGTCAGTGTGCAGAGTGAGAAAGGTGGTAATGCAATGATGCACGCCCCTTTCCCATGCATGAAGCCATGAAAACTGGGAAGACAAGAATTCCTTAATTCTGTGCATAAGACGATTAAGAATCATCCTTTCGAATGTTTTACACAAGCAGCTAGTAAGGGATATTACCTGGAGTTTACCTGGAGAGAGTTCCGGGGGTCAACGCCCCCGCGGCCCGGTCTGAGACCAGGCCTCCTGTTGGATCAGAGCCTGATCAACCAGGCTGTTGCTGCTGGCTGCACGCAAACCAACGTACGAGCCACAGCCCGGCTGGTCAGGAACCGACTTTAGGTGCTTGTCCAGTGCCAGCTTGAAGACTGCCAGGGGTCTGTTGGTAATCCCCCTTATGTGTGCTGGGAGGCAGTTGAACAGTCCGGGCCCTGACACTTATTGTATGGTCTTTAAAACGTGCTAGTGACACCCCTGCTTTCATTGGGGGGATGGTGCATCGTCTGCCAAGTCTTTTGCTTTCGTAGTGGTGATTTTCGTGTGCAAGTTCGGTACTAGTCCCTCTAGGATTTTCCAGGTGTATATAATCATGTATCTCTCCCTCCTGCGTTCCAGGGAATACAGGTTTAGGAACCTCAAGCGCTCCAATAATTGAGGTGTTTTATCTCCGTATGCGCGCCGTGAAAGTTCTCTGTACATTTTCTAGGTCGGCCAATTTCACTGCCTTGAAAGGTGCTGTTAGTGTGCAGCAATATTCCAGCCTAATAGAACAAGTGACCTGAAGAGTGTCATCATGGGCTTGGCCTCCCTAGTTTTGAAGTTCTCATTATCCATCCTGTCATTTTTTAGCAATGCGATTGATACAATGTTATGGTCCTTGAAGGTGAGATCCTCCGACATGATCACTCCCAGGTCTTTGACGTTGGTGTTTCGCTCTATTTTGTGGCCAGAATTTGTTTTGTACTCTGATGAAGATTTAATTTCCTCATGTTTACCATATCTGAGTAATTGAAATTTCTCATCGTTGAACTTCATATTGTTTTCTGCAGCCCACTGAAAGATTTGGTTGATGTCCGCCTGGAGCCTTGCAGTGTCTGCAATGGAAGACACTGTCATGCAGATTCGGGTGTCATCTGCGAAATGAGTTTTGTTGATTGGGCTTCGGAATGGGAATAATGAGGCTATTGGTCCATGATTTAGGGAGCTCCCCAGTGACATAACTCATGTTATATAATTCAAGTAAAGGATTACCTGGTACTCGACACAGCAATCTGAGTATGTTGTAAGTAATACCATCCTCACCAGGCGACGTGGAGTTGCCCTTAGTTAGTGCTGCATCAAGTTCATAATTAGTGAAAGGAAAGTTGCAGTCATCTGCCTTGCTGAGCATAAAGCAAACAAGTCTCTCCCTTGCATCATATTTGTCCAATAATTTCGCCCGTGTGGTACTGGGAAGACTGTCATAGCTAGATGTAGCAGCCCAGCACTGACTAACCACATTCGCCCATATGTCAAGGGATGAGGGTGCGCGATCTGCCCAAGTTCTGCTGTTACCCTTAATTCTGTTAATGTCCCTCCATGCCCGCTAAAGTGGGGTGTGAGCATTAAGACCGTTGACAAAATTGTTCCCAGTCTGTTTGCCGCAGCTCTGTCATACGCTCTCTGGCACAGCAGCAAGGGCAGTTTGGAAGAGGCTTCAGCATTTCAGGGGTACGATGGTTGTTTCTATAGGCTAGGCCTAGTCTGCGAGCAGTACGTTTCTAAAATATTCTAAGTTTAGAATCATTGTAAATAGGTATGGGTTTTTATAAGACTTATATTTTTAGGAAGTCATTTGGATTTAGAGTAGTAGAGTTTTCAGAGCGGCTCTAAGAAGTTTCTGAATACTGCTCACAAGTTCATTGGTTAAAAGTCTCGACAGAGGACACTCATAGGAATTATACCAGTCAGTCACATGTGCAACAAAGTCATCAATGTTGATCATGGGAAACATTAGACGTTTCCGTTTGAATATCCCACCAGGAGAATAGTATTACCAATATCTAGGGGTTTTAGCTTGGGAAATGATCAGACGCTATATCTTTAGCTACAACAGAAGACTCCACAGCTGCAGAAGTAAAGTTGAACCCAGCACAGAACAAGGACACCTCCATAGATATGTGTGGTTTTCAAGGTCACCTACAATTTGCACATTAATCATGACAGGGGGGGGGGGGGGGGGGGGTGGGGGGGGGGGGGGTTTAAGAGTGACAACAGTTGATTGCCATTACGATTACCAAACTGAGAGTTTTTCCCAATGCTTATGTAGTCCTTGCATTATAATCACCAATAATGAGAGTAGGTTCAGACTGAGCACAAGTTGGGACTCCAATGTAATTAAACTTATCACAGGAGCGTACAAGTTAAATATGTTTGAGAGCAGAGTTCCCAATATAAATCCCTAACAAACCGGATATTGTAGCCCCTCTGATTTCTTATGTGCAAGAAGTTGATGGGGAAGTGATTTTTTACATATATAGAACAACAAGAGATAGTAGATTTGAGTTATATGCAACAAACCCGATGGCAATTAGAGGGGGGTTGGGAATTTCAGGGACTCTGTACTCTTGTAGACACAATTATCAATGATTCAGTGGGGTTACTTTATGATGCAGGTCAGAAAATCTTTTTCTAAGTGACGCAATATTCCAACTTAAAATGGATAGTTTATACGAGTTTGGTTCCATTATAAAAGTCCAGGGATAGTATTCAATTTCTCAGCAAAATGAAAAAACTTACTAAATAACAAACAGACATAATCAATATCAATATCATCAGTATTATCCTATATATAAGTCCCAGCACACATAAGGGGGATTACCAACAGACCCCTGGCAGTCTTCAAGCTGGCACTGGACAAGCACCTAAAGTCGGTTCCTGACCAGCCGGGCTGTGGCTCGTACGTTGGTTTGCGTGCAGCCAGCAGCAACAGCCTGGTTGATCAGGCTCTGATCCACCAGGAGGCCTGGTCGCGGACCGGGCCGCGGGGGCGTTGACCCCCGGAACTCTCTCCAGGTAAACCACCAGTAGAGCTACGGGATACTCATGGAAGGTGGTGATAGCCCTGTCTACTGCTGTTGAGGACGTCAGTAAGGTATCAGAGAGTAGGGTATACCTCCAGGTATACCTGATGGTATGTATACCTTTACTGATACCTGCAGGTATACCTTCGTATATATACCTTTGCTGATACCTTCAGGTATACCTTCATATATATATATATATATTATTATATATTATATATATATATATATATATATATATATATATATATATATATTTTAAAATATATATTTTAAATATTTCTCTTGGGTATCTTTATTGAGGAAACGTTTCGCCACACAGTGGCTTCATCATATATATATATATATATATATATATATATATATATATATACATTACTGATATAGTTTATACTTATATACCTTGAATACCTTTACTGATACCATCAGGTATACCTTCACTGATACCTTCAGGAATACCTTAGTGATACTTCAGGGATACCCTAGTGATACCTCCAGGTATACCTTCAGGGATACAAACTCAAGTATTTTTCGTTCAAAAAGCCTAAAAATAATTATTCTACGCACATAAAACGTAAAAATAATATATATTCTGCCTACACAAGGCCTAAAAAACAATTTTGTACAGAGCCTAAAATTTTTATACTTTTCAAAAAAATTTCGGATCATAAGTAAATTTTTACGCCAGTTAATAGATATATAAATTAAAACTGGCCTATCGCAGCTGGAAAGAGCCTTTACTAGACCTTTTAAATAGACCTATGGTGGGAATTTAGACAAAGTAATCCTCGGAGAAATTCAGGGGAAATTGTACCCACAGGAGACTCTGTTTTTCCAATTATTTTGCTGTTTTGGGAGCGAGGTAGGCCTACCAGGCGGTGCAGAGGGGTGAAAATAGGCGAGTTTGTCTCATGAAGGGTGGCTATAGGCCTTGGAATAGTCCTATAACCAATTAGTTCCCACATGACCTATTTTCTGCAGGAAATGAAAGGTTGTAGACACAAAGAGGCCGCGTTCACTTACTCCCGAAAAATCCCTTATTTTTACCATTTTCTCCCTTAATACCCCACTTTTTTCGTTTTTTAAGGCGCGAAATTATAGATTGTGAGTTGGCACATGTACCTAGGTGGGTAAAAATAGGTCAAAATGGGCGTAAATGGGTTAAAATGGGCAATATTTATGTTGGTTGAGGTGAAGAGGCTGACTGTAGGGATCAGCTGTGAGGAGGAAAGTTAAGGTGTCGGGTCGTGGCTGTTTCTTGGTCCATTATCTACCCCCAGCTGCTCTACCACGGGGCCACCTGCCTCCCACACCCTCATATAATGTCCGCCGGATGCTGTGGCACCAAGAAACCCAAGTTAAATGGCGGCCCACAGGTAAAAATGGGGTTTATATGGCGGCAAGTCGGGTCTTGGGCGCCCTCACCCCACGGGGAAATTTTGTGATATTTGCTCCCCCTGGGTTGTCCAGGGGAGCTACGCCCCCGTTCATGGGGGGGATTTGGAGGGGTGCCCCATGGGTATATTCCTGGGTATGGGGCCCCTCATTATGGGGGTCAGGGGGAGTGGGGGAGGGTAAAATAGGTCATGACTAGTGAGTCAAGGTCCCGTCCCCAGTGAGGCTATTATTGGGACATGTGGGTTTAGCGCTCCCCCGGGGGATATGGAGGGACGTGAGGGGTTTAGAGCTCCCCTGGGGGTGTTGTGGGGGGAGATGAGGGTTTAGAGCTCCCCTGGGGTGTTGTGGGGGGACGTGAGAGTTTAGATCTCTCGTGGGTGTACGGGGGGACGTGAGGGTTTAGAGCTCCCCCTTGAGGTGTGTGGGGTGACGAGAGGGTTTAGCGCTCCCCTTGGGGTGTTATGGGGGGACATGAGGGGTTTAGAGCTCCCTGGGGGATGTGAGGGTTTAGAGATGCCCCTGGGGGGGTGTTGTGGAAGACATGAGGGTTTAGAGCTCACCCCCGGGGGCGTTTTGTGGGTCATGAGGGTTTAGAGCTCACCATGGATATTGTCCCATGTAGATTTAGAGCTCCATGTGGATATATAGCATTCCATGCCAGTTTAGAGCTCTCCCTATATGCAGTAATCTTGTGTCTCATACCAGTTTAGAGCTCCCTGTGAAAGTAATAAAAATTTATTACACAAAATACAATTTTAATATATAAATTTTTTTTAACAGCAGGAATTTAGAAACAATTTAAATTTAATATATTATTTCTAACAAATTTAAAAAAATGATTTAGATTTAATATATTTTTCTAACACGAATTTCAAAAATGATTTCAATTTGTGGTTTGGCCGTAGCATTGTGTTGATATTAATGTTTTTCACTGATTTCATCATTGCTTAGTTAATCTTAAGTTAATTTTAAGCCAGCCCGTAATGCTATGCATAGTATAAGTGGCTTTGGCATGCTGCTCTTATCTGTATTTTTTTTTTGTACCTCTGTAAGTGTGCTCAAATTATAAATAAATAAATAAATATTGCAACGACCCCAGTACTAAGATTTTCTGTTGTGCAGCTAGCTAGTTGAACTAATTAGTTAGCTAGTAATGTTAAGTTGGTTAGGTTAAGTTAGGCACAGGTACACATAAGTACAACTATCATACACAGTGTAAATTTCCTTAAATAACCCCATAAAAGTCAGTGACTTAGTTGGTCCTCGATTTATGAACACATTGGGGACCTCCTGTATATAATAATATACACAATACAGAAGATTTTCACCATGTTTGTAAGTCGAGGACTTGCTGTATTTCTGTTGGGGTCCTTCTCGAGGGAATCTTGATTAGGGTGGGAGACGTATTGGAAAAACTCCTAGTTAATAATCTGTGTTTAGTTGCTAAGTGGATTTTAAGCACTAGGATTAGTCTTCTAGTAATGCACTATATGCTAGTAGCTTTATTTTGCACCTAACACTATTTTATTACGTGCAGTAAGATCACAGTAAGCAGGTGATATCAAAATATGTAAAGTAACTAGTGAAAAAAATAATGAAATAAGTCACTTTGACTGGCTTTTTTTTATGGTTTATCCTGGTCAATTTACACGTTTGTTGCAATGCAGTAAGATCACAGTATACAATTGTTATCACATGCAAAATAACCCCAGGGGGAAAAAAATAGTGAATTATCAAGCGCTTTTGTGATTTCTCACATTCTGATGGAAATAAACCATTTTGGCTGACTTTTTCTGGGTTATCCTGGTCAATTTACACACATGTTGCTATTAACAAACTGTGGCTAGCCAGGGATCAAACCTGTGTTATTTTAGCCCACTTCATGGGTAGCAAGTAAAAATTTATGACACTCTAACCACTGGGCCGTCACTCCAACAATTGCATTAATACAGTAGAGCCCCCATATCCATGGGTTCGGTTTCTGTGGTTTCAGTTATCCGTGGTTTACCATGGAATGAAAATAAGCCATAATTTTTCTTAATAATGGTCCCATTTTGCAAAAGTAGTGGTGACATTTGTTCAAATTCTAAGAGAAGCTGTGAAGTGCTTCCCATCAGTGAAAAAGTGGTAATTCTCCACTTATTTTACATAATTTATCAATTAAACTTTATAATAGGCATGTATAGGACTTACACGTATATGGGGTTCGCTACTATCCACAGTTTCTGGCATCCATTGTAGTTCTTGGAAGGTATCCCCGTGGATACCAGGGCACTACTGTATATGTAACTATGCAATAAGCTCACTGTAAATAAGTGATATGACAGTATGCAAAACAACCACTGTGAAAATAATAGTAGATTTCCAAGTGCTTTTGTGATTTCTCACATTATAAAAAACAGGTCCTTGATAATGTGAGAAATCACAAAAGCACTTGGAAATTCACTATTTTTTCACTGGTTATTTTGCATATTGTGATATTATCTGCTTACTGCAATCTTATTGCATAGTAACATATGTATAAATTGACCAGGATAACTCCAAAAAAACAGTCAAAGTGACTTATTTCCATCATAATGTAAGAAATCATAAAACAATTGGAATTCACTATTTTTTCACTAGTTATTTTGCACATTGTGATATCACCTGCTTACTGTGATCTTATTACATATAATAGAATATGTTAGACACAAAATAAAGCTACGTACTAGCATGCGATGAATTTTGGGCAGACTAATGTATGTATATACAGTCGAACCTCCCATATCCACTGATTCAGTATCAGTGGTTTCAGTTATCCATGTTTTACTGTGGCCCCAAAATACCTCTTAATTTTGCATAATAATGGCCCCAAACTACAAAAGTAGAGAAGGTGACAGTTGTTCAAAGTATAAGAGAAGCTGTGAAGTGCTTCCCATCAGTGAAAAAGTGATAATTCTCCACTTATTGTGCATAATTTAACAATTAAACTTTGTAATAGCTATGTATATGACTATATATAGGGTTTGATGCTATCTGTGGTTTTGGTATCCATGGCAGGTCCTTGGAGCGTATGTCCTGTGGTGTGGATATGGGGGCCTTACTGTATTTACTATGTTGAAAATGGTATACAATACTGACAAGTTGATTAAGACACGTGCAACAACAGTTGGGTATCTTTATTGTTGCAACATTCCTCTTACACAGACTTCTTCAGTCAAATACAGAGGCAGCAGGTGTAGTAGTGAAATGAAGATGATGTAATTAGTCCATCAACCTTGGAGAAATAGTATTTGAAGTGGTCAGTCCCTAAGGTTGGAGAGTTCATCTCCATGGTCTGGAACAGTATGAAGCTGAAGCATGAGAACGGAGTCGTAAATAGTGTCGAAGGTGAGGTGAAAGATCTGGAAGACATTGTAAGGGACAGGATCCAGTAGTGGAAGAAGAGCAGGTTCATCTGGAATCCAAACCATTCTCACACATAACTTGTAGTTACGTGATGATGAATGGAAGATGTCCTTTGTACAGGGACTGACCACCTCATATCTCCAAGGTGGATGGACTGATTACATCTTCATTTAACTACTACACCTGTTACCTCTGTATTTGACTGAAGAGAAACCTACTGTGTAGGCAAAAACATTTCAACAATAAAGATACCCAACTGTTGCACATGTGTCTTAAAATGTGTATTTACTATGTTTTATGTACAGTAAGACCTCGACTTAAAAACTTGTTGGGGACCTCCTGTATTGTGTATAATAATATATAATAATGATACACAATACAGAAGATTCCCAACATGTTTGTAAGTCAAGGACTTGCTGTGGCGGACTTTGTGCTTAACAGTATTTTGTCACGTGTAAATTACACATTGTATACTACGCAAAGAAATAAAGGTACAGCATGTAGTCTAGGTGTGTAGTAGGCTATTTCATATAGCCTAGGTGTTGCAGTAGGCTATTTCATGTAGCCTAGGTGTGTTGTAGGCTATTCCATATAGCCTAGGTCTGTGGTAGGCTATACCATATAGCCTAGGTGTGTAGTAGGCTATATCTTCACCAGGTGCCAGATCAACCAGGCTGTGATAGATATGTGGGGCAGCGGGCCTCCAGCAGCAATAGCCTGGTTGACCAGGCAAGCACCAGATGAGCCTGGCCCATGGCTGGGCTCAGAGAGTAGATATACTCTCGAAATTCTTCAAAGGTATATCAAAGGTATAAGGTACCATATTGCCTAGATGTGTAGAAGGCTATACCATATAGCCTAGGTGTGTAGTAGGCTATACCATATAGCCTAGGTGTGTAGTAGGCTATACCATATAGCCTAGGTGTGTAGTAGGCTATAAGTAAGTAAGTAAATTTATTCAGGTATACACAATACAGTTACATAGAATTATCATACATAGCAGCATATGTGTAGAGAACCTAGGATAACCCAAAAAAGTCAGAGTGACTTATTTCCAGTGTGTAGTAGGCTATACCATATAGCCTAGGTGTGTAGTAGGCTATACCATATAGCCTAGGTGTGTAGTAGGCTATACCATATAGCCTAGGTGTGTAGTAGGCTATACCATGTAGCCTAGGTGTGTAGTAGGCTATACCATATAGCCTAGGTGTGTAGTAGGCTATACCATATAGCCTAGGTGTGTAGTAGGCTATACCATATAGCCTAGGTGTGTAGTAGGCTATACCATATAGCCTAGGTGTGTAGTAGGCTATACCATATAGTCTATGTGTGTAGTAGGCTTATACCATATAGTCTAGGTGTGTAGTAGGCTATACCATATAGCCTAGGTGTGTAGTAGGCTATACCATATAGCCTAGGTGTGTAGCAGGGTTATACCATGTAGCCTAGGTGTGTAGTAGGCCATACCATGTAGCCTAGGTGTGTAGTAGGCCATACCGTATAGCCTAGGTGTGTGTAGTAGGCCATACCGTATAGCCTAGGTGTGTAGTAGACCATACCATATAGCCTGGGTGTGTAGTAGGCCACATTA